ATACTATTATTACCAAACATAATTATAATTAATTACATAGGTATAAATAATAATTAAGATAATATCTAGAAAAATAAAAACAACGTTTAATTTTGATCATATTAACCAAATATTTGATTGAAATTATTTTATCGAAGCTTTAATATCTATCATGTAGACTTCATTATTATCACCAGATTTTTTTCAATATACCGAACGTATTTTAGCGAACGTTATCTCTCTATTGCATACCATTTATGATGTTAAAATAAAGTGATTAAATATCTCGTAAAATTGTGAAGTTAACAGATTCAAGTTTTATTAAACGTAAACATTAAAATTAAATTAACACGTTAATGGAAGCGGGATGACGGACCAACTGTTACAAACGAGCTACTCACAAAAACCACCTGCTGTAATGTGTCACGTTCGGTAACCAGAGATGCAAACGCCGTGTACGCTAACAGCATACATGCGATGAAGGTTCCGAGTATAACCACGCTCACGCAAACGCCAAGCTTTCGGATACGACAATTACCCATCGAGGTTCGTCCTCTGGCCCGATCCATTTGGCCCAATTATACGTTTCCCGTAGCAATCTCAAGTAACTTCTTCGGTTGTAGACTAGATGGTAAACGAGAGCTCGTTAGCGGCTAGCGCAATGAGTCCAGTACAAATCTATAGTCATTTAGCAGCTGTCCCTTCTAAAATAAGTTAGTACACATATAAAGTTACTTTGCGCGATTGAGAATCAGCTGCTTTGTTTATCTCAACGTTGGAATTATCCCTTCAGTTAGTGAATCATTATTTTAGCAAAACAGAAATTTAGATTATACAGATCTAACAATAACCATAAGTTAAAGAAATAAAAAGGATACACAGAGAGAAAAATTTGCTATGAACGCTAATCCTATGCCATAATGGCAAATTCTATTTGCAAATATAGGGATCGCAAATTATTTGCAGGTCTTACAAATATCTATTTTTTTTTGTACTCATTATAAAAATTATTTGCAACAAATGCAAAATATTTGTCAAATATGTAAACTTGTTTGCTATAAACAGCACACAAATTTGACAATTAAATTTTGCAAGTTTTCTGCGTTCATAGCAGAATCATTTTTCTCCGTGTAGGAAGAAATAAAAATGTGATAATCTTTTCACATTTAAAGTTCGATATCCATGTTTGAAATTGATCTAAATTACAAAATTATATATTTCTTAAAAATGCAATTAGAAAATTCTTTTCCCTTATTGTGTGACAAATATTTAAAAGAAAATGAGACTTTCATGTATAAATAAAAGAAGCTGTTAAGATAGCTTTACTTATTTTCGTAAAAGATCATGGGCTTATCTGGCTTTGCAAACAAATGATTCACTGAATTCAATTACGTTGGAGTTTCTCTGAACTGTGTTTATTAGAAAAACACTTGTTTCTCTGTCAGACAAAGAATACCGGTGCGCTTATCGCAGACTTCTCTATTATCTGTCATGTCATGGCAAGTTTACCTTTTCTCGTACACGTGGGACGTCGTTCGACTACGTCAGCACTAAAAACTACCGTGGTCGATACGGCACTGCGACCGCTCCAGCACGTCGTGCGGTATCCTCTTGACGTTCTTCGTGAAGCGCGCGGAGGGAGATGTGAGGTGCGTGACGTGCGTGAATGTCGAACGAAATTACACGTACTCGTGATTTGCAATCCGAAACGTGCAATAGTCGGTCGGACTCGCGGACGCGAATCCGATAACACACACTGTTATTATTGCTGCTGCGAACCACAGATTCGTCCGCGGATGAGAGCCGACACTCGTTCACTTTACGTTCTCTTCTTTGCAGCACGCTCATTCTTGCGTTGTACATGGCTGAAAGATCGACCGTGAAGGCTTATATATATATGTGCGCGTGTATTCGTGTGTCATACTTACGTAAATTCCATATAAATGTGCATCTGGCTTTCAGTTGCGCTTCAGTTGCCTCTCGATTGTGGAGCGATGCGTTGTTTTCTTTTCGTTGTAAAGTGACTTAATTCGAGAACTTAATTCGAGTGTGATGTTTGAAGTTGGTCAAGCGTTAATTATTATTAAAATTATTAATATTAATGGTTTTAGTCTGTTAGTGATCTTTATCTCTTATTGATAAGGTGTTGATAAATGTTTGATGGATACATTATTAATGGTTTTAAGAGCAACAAGATAACCGTGTGTTTTATTATTGAAGTATGCTTCGAAAATGATAAATGTTATTCTAAATACGTAGTTTCAGAATAATACATATAATTTTTTTTATTTTGTCAAGCTATTTGTTAGTTAAATCAAAACCTATATTGTCTATTTGTTGAAAAACTAGTATTAATATTCTTGAAATTTGATTATTAAAATAAACTAGTTTTTTATTTTGTGACCTAATTATTTACTCATATTTGATCTCTCTGTTACCTTTATTGCTTAGCAATTTTGAACTTGAAAATTGATATTGTCACTTCTGAGAGCACGTAGTAAAAAACTTTTAACACGTTCTATTAAAAGTACTCAAAATGTTCTCAAATGATTTTATATTTCTTATATATAATTTTTTACGAAACAGTCAAAAACAAAACGTTGACGTTTTTTGTACTGAAAAACTGCTATTTCACTGTCGGCAATTTTTACAATACTGGAGGAATATGTGACTTCTCCGTATCGTGTGTTTTCGTACTTCCTATCGTGTGTCCCCCACTTAAAAATTTAGCGATAAAGAGAAACAGGTTATATTTAGCATTGGACACAAAGAAAAATACGGAATATGTTGTCGAAATAAATAAATAAATGCGCGCATGGCTGGGTTAAAGTAACTTTTATTTACGATCAGTTTTTACTAGAGGCGCAATAAATTTTTTTTATGATACACAGAAATAACGCAGGTCGACTTCACGCGCTTCGTTTTGGATTTCGGTGATAACCAAACAACAGGATTTCGCGATTAAGCGAACAAATCGCTTCGTCCGTGCAGGGCACACATTTATTTCTAAAATGGTAGGTAATTTATCCGCGAAACGAGATCCGCATACGTCGAACAAAATAAATTATATCATACGTCACGTATTGGAGCAACAGGAGTTATGTTGCAAAATAATCGTAAAAATATGACAAACGTTATCATATATTTGTAATAATACTAGGATCCATTTTTTGTAACTATTAATTAATAGTCGCTTAATTAACATTATCTTGTATATTATTTTAATGACGTATGTTAACTTTTTCAATCGAAAAGTAATCTAAATCTTGGAGTAATGATAATTATCTCTATATCGAACATTGTTCCGTTGTTAATATAATTTTATGTTGTGAAAGAAGTACAATCTGACAGTCTCGTGTAATTTGCTTGACTCCAAGTCTTCTCAATTATATCATGTGTTGTCATCGAATGCGATTAACGAAACCGTTATCGATACTTACTGTGCACTTTGGTTACCACCTGTTGACAGGAATGCACAAGCTAAATGTCAGAATAAATACCGTTTAGTTTAAATAAAAATTTAAATTTCGTTATAATTGAATTGTTCGTAGAGTTTGAAATTGTAAAAGTCTGTTAATGTATTACTGAAAAACGCTAGCTACAAAAGTAAATCCAGCTAGAAATGATTGGTCGCTCGACGTTGAATCGATTCGATGCTGATCGATCAATTATCTCTGGCTGGAAAGAATTTTACTATTTCAAGTAATTTATTGGAAACTTGATTAACTTCAGCCAGATTACATATAATCGAATTCGGAAAATCATACACAACGTTCGACATTTGTTTCCTCGACACGATTTGTAATACAATAATATGTCGAAATATCAAAAAGGGCATCGAGCTGCTTTTTCTTCCTTTTTTTTATTTTAAAATTAATCGGACATTTTTTGCGCACCCCTGATCTACGGACTAATTCTAAGTCTATAACATGAAAGAGGAACGAAGTTTTATTACCTCTACGTCGCATTTTTATACGTTTATATTTTATGCAAGCGCATGTGCATCCGGTGCACGTTGCGTGTTACATAAGATGTAGATAGACGTTGGAGCTAGTAAAACAAAGTGACCTAAGTAGCAGGGTCCTCAAATCGTTTCGCGCGACACGCCGAAGTGCTGTAAAACGCTCGATACATAAAATTAAAAAGTACGATCGTCCGAAGCCACCACGAAGTTTCTTACGTAACTCTAGCTGACCGACGAAATCAGATTTGCTGATGAGAAATTCGCACACAACGCGCATTTGCTTTGTCGCTGGCGCAAACGAAATTTGAGAACGCCTGATCTAACGAACGCAACATCGATTATGATTATTATAATAAGTACGACGAGTCTTTTTTTTTTACAAGAGAGATACTAGAATATCGGAGAAGGGAGGAAATATCGAGAGACGAAGGAGTGCAATACGAAAGAATCGTACAATACGTCGTTTGGTATGAAAGTTTAACGAAGCGAGCGTTCAGAAGCTGCGGGAGAAAAATTATTCCATGCGCGTAAAGGATTAAGGAAAAATTCTCTCTCGCACGCAGTGCTTGTCCGGGGGAGGAACTCGTCGCGGCATACGATTTCAATTGCAGATAGTAATATCTAGAATAAATGCAGCCCGGAAGTGGAGCGTCATCGATTCGCGGAGGCGCGACTCGAAGGAGCCCTCTTGTTGAATCAGCGAAGTGCTACGTCTATTTACTTCGTTTATTTTACGGCAGGAATAAAGTTGCTAATTCATACGCGGCTCATGCATAACAATAAATATAGCGAAAGAATAAAATGCAATAGCGATATCTGGCGAGAATATCTTTACGGTACTTGCGAATTTTTTTTTCTTTATCTGTTGAAAGGAGGAAAGAAACATTTAATCGTAAAAACAAGTCGAGCGATCCACCGTATAAAATTAGATTATAAAATTGTTATAAGAGATCTGGATGTTAATAAAAAGAAAAAAATCCGCGAGTGAACGGAAACTCTAAGTCTAACCTGAATTAGTCTATAAAATTTTTAGAAAAACTTTGTCATTTATTATTAATTAATTCTTAAATAAAGATTGAATTGTGTTTTATCGAACTGATGTAGAGCACAAATAAACGGACTCTATGTAATGTACTATTTGTGTTCATTATAAATATATAGATATATTTACTTCAAATTTATTTTAAATAAAAGTATTTCCGCTCGAAGCAATTATATCGCATCCGCTTCTACAGAAGTGAAATAAAGAACGATATAACAATGCAGTTACAAACTGCCAGTGGTGCAACTAGGAGTGTGCAAAAGCTGTAAGTGTGCGAGGATTAAATGGGGAAATGTAAAATTGATCAAATTTATCAACACCGATTAACTATAATTGTATCTATAATCGTATTTATAATTTTTAATCAAGGAACTTATGCTATTTTTGTGCTTCGGAGGAAATGTACGTCTATACACACTCTACAGGTTTATTTGAGAGAAGAGAAGTAATTCATCGCTCGAGTGCATTTATAATAGTTACGCCACTGGCAACGGACGATTCTGAGATCAGTGGTTCAAGCTCGAGGTAGAGATAAAGTGGAAGGATCGAGTCGGGAATGACGTTATTACGAGTTGTATAGTAATCTCTCTGCATCAGTGATCGTGTCTGCGATCTACGCTTGTTCCGAGCGACGCCTTCGTCCGGGACCGCCGGCGTAGTTCGCTGCCGCGAGTCCCATCATGTGTTTCGCCGCCTGAGAACCGCTGTACCCACGATTGAGACCCAGATCCAATCCTCGTTTGGTGCTGCGAACATACCGGTTGAATGTTTATCACGCTGTTATTTGAATCGACCATCTTAGAAAGGGCTTTGCTCCGACAAACACGAGTTCGCAAAACTCAAGAATCACAAAAAGCATTCGAATAGCACATCCCGACGTATATGTATAAGAGCTAGACATCTCCGATTCTATCTCGCTACTCTTATATCAATTGATTGAAACGAAGTCTCTTCTATATATGAATGTGTGTCGATGTAAAAAAGGACACGTACAGTGAAAATCCATTATCGACTTTTTTAAAATAAAGCTCTTCCTAAAATAAGTGGTTCCTTTTATATCCGATGGAATTAAAGGCAAATAAAAGAGACATTGCGGTACGGAAGAAGTATCAAAGGAAAAATGATATTCTGAATATAGAGCGTTCGTTGTCAAATCCCAAACTTCCTATATTAAAATGCTTTTTATTGCACCGCAGTTTAATTTGAGATTCAACTTTTATTATAAGTAATTCTTCATGAATTTTTTTATAAGTTTTCTTGAAAATTAATTATTTAAAATATTACCGACTAAAGCAGTAAACTTAGTAAACACACATAGGCATAATTTTATAAAAAAATATGTTCACATATACATCTATAAACAATATATTGAGTTGAAACAAAAATTCGTAGCGCTACTTTATTTATATTATGTCTATGTGTTTAAACAAATTTGGCAATATATTATTCGAGTAAAATATATTATAGAGCAAAGTTTCAGTTTTAAGAATCTATTTTTTAAACTACGATACGATGATTTTTAACAGAATTATAAGCAAAGTCAAAATGCTTCTCTTATTAAATCTGCAGTAGCAAGTAATAAAAAATAATAATAAACTTAAGGAGGTTCGATTATTACTTTTGCAAGTTTTTTTTTGGGCATATGACAGGTCCACAAAGAGGGGAGAAAATTTCCTTTTATTCAGCTAATAGTTTTCTATATGTAAAAATTACCACACACAAACAGACATTCAGAAGGTTTAAGCTATGTTCAGCAGACTCAACATAATCGCTGTTATTGATGTATTTTTCTAGATTAAAAAGTCTGATTGGATGATCTAGAAAAATAGCGAGCGCTCACTCAACTGTTAAGTCTGCTGAACGCAGCTATAGAGACTATCTGTAAGTAAAGACTTTAAGCTTTAAAACTGTTTTTGACAATTAAATTTTGTTCATTTTTAACAAAGTTTTGACCGCTTGAATTTTGAAGTGCTAAATTTGTATTTTAACTCAATATTAACAAAATTAACATCCCACATGTATTAACTATTAACTTGACAGCATGCCTGTCTAAAATCATGACATAAGATATGATTTAAAAGACGTTTTACGTTTCGAGTTTGGACAGGGACAGTAACATGAATTATGCATAACGTTAAGATATCATTGTATAACATTATCTTACTTTTCCATCTCAGGGCGGTTGATGCGACTAAGACGAGAGAGTATCTCTAGAAACTCGTCTCGGTCTATGTCATCCTGCTGATCCCAATAACTTTCATGGCTGCGTGCGTAGTGTAAAATAGGAATTGATTGAGGAATTGATCGATTAATCGCGAAAACTGCACACAATAATAAACATCGAATTACACAAGATGAGAAATGGGCGTTGAAAATGTAATTTAACTGGGAAATCGATAAAAATCGCCAAAACTTACGACCTCTATAAAATCTATTTTTCTCTCACAAGAAAGAGACTCTGGAAACTGAAATGAATGATGTGAGAGAGGTAAAAATATAGTTGTCAAATATAATTCAGGGACGGCGTTAATAGATACGCCTGCAACTCGGAATTATTCTTCGCGATTGTCTAAAACGTCGTTCGACGAGTCATTTCAGTTACCAGGATTCCTTTCAATCGGCTGGCGTGTCAAATAGGAACTAGGTTAAACTGTTCGAGCAGATGCGCTTCTGCTTCTCGTTCAATATATTCATTTAATTGTAAATAAGCACTCGGGGAAATTTCGATTTGCATTGATTCGAAGTTGAGGATATTTAAAATTAATTTCGGACGCCTACTTATTGTTGAATATAATTTTATTAATTATAGGCATGTAGCTAAATATTTACTGATAGCGTTCAACCATCGATAATGTTAAAGTCTTTTATATAATATATATGATATTTTTTTTTAAAGAGAAAATTCACGGACGTTTTATTACATATGATTCGGCACACACAGGATTTAATAATTTTCATAATATTCTAATAATTATTGACTCTCTCGTCTTCCCGATTTATCAAAGATAGGAAAAGTTACCTACCGCGGTATTGCATCGGCTGTGAGACTCGAAACTGCGACAACGACTACGAACATCAGTAGCGTGCACAAAGCAGTCATCTTGGGCTGCATCTAAAATAAATTAATCGTATAATTATATTATAATAACTGATTTTACATTTATAAATCAAGAGCTAGTAAATCGTAAACAAGATCAGAATGGGAATCAGGTACACGCGGCTTTTTATAGCTAAAACAATCTAGGCACTCCACATAATAAGATCAGAATCATAATATGCTTTTATATAAGTAGTATAAATATTCAGATCTCGTCTGGAGATCTAAATTCCTGCGTTACATAATAGTGCTTGGCATCTCAGGCGGTCACATTAAATGTTAAATTCGGCAGTAAATGAGATTAAGATGCGTGAATACAAAGCGACGTGCTCATATGTATTCCTTTTGTAATACGTAATCCTGCGATATTCCTCGTCCCATTGTTCTACTTGGTTTACTATCTTCACCATCGTTTAATGGAAAATATCAAAATATGGCAATATCAATATATGCTTTACCATGCGCGTCTGTTTAAAGACCACTAAATCCTACTAGGAAAACGTTCCTGATTGAGAACAACTCTACTACTGCAACGAATTTGACTAACTGTCTTAAAGCATTCGCGAGATTTCATTTTCGTGGAATTCTAATTTAAAGTAAATTCAATTCAAGTATGAAACTTGTTTAAATACGCAACAATAATTGTGACGGTAGCTAGAAAAAAGTAAGTATTGTACGAGTAAAATATTGTTTTCGAGAAAAGCATGTTTGAAGCTTTCATTCAAATCCGTAATTTTATCAGCAATTGATAGAATAGCAGGAATTGTAAACAATATTTTTAAATATTCTGTTAAGATAGAATTGGAAACAAGTAAGATAGAAAATAAATGAGGAAGACATAGAAAGAACAATTTTGTTAAAGTATAATATCTGAAAATTCAGCTATAGATCTGAAAAATTTTTAATTGGAAATGAATAAACCAGAAAATTCTGATTTGTCCATTTTCAATTAAAATTCCAATTATTGCAATCAGACTTTCTTCCCCATCAGTGTAGAATGTTGAAATTTTTTGCAACATTGTTTATTATGCGTAAATATCCTATATAATGATTTTAATAATCCAATAAAATTATTTTTAGATCTGTGTCTAGCAAAATTTTTAAATAATAACACTTCGGCAGAATCATTCTAGGATTGCCACAAAATTTAAAATCAGAGAAATGTCAGGGAAATTGAAAACGGTCAGGGACATCAGGGAAAAGTCAAAGAATTTTGCACAAATTATTTTTGAAAAATTAAATTTCTCGGCTTTAAAGAAGTTTAATATGCGTGTATCACATCTCTACTCTCTAAATCTGAATCAGTGGATAGTCACTAATTACAGTGGCATACTTGGCACTGATAATCTGTGAAGTTCAATTAAAAAAAGGAAGAATGTTTGAGCATTATATAATTAAAATACTGATATTTGTGCACGTTAATTTCAATTTTCCATATTCATTAAATTTAAGCACTAAAACAAGGTTAGTTAGATCACATAATAAGATTAGCTAAGTTAGGGATCTCACATTTAATTCACTGATAACCAGTGGCATACTTGGCCACTGATTACCCACTGATTTAGATTTAGAGAGTACGTAGTTTTGGAATATTATCAACTTAACAATTAAATGCAAGCAGCACTCAACAATATTAATATTTACATTGTTATGTTAAATTGCTTTCTTAACAAAATATTTTATGGTTTCCAAATTAGAAAATACAAAAAAATTCAAAGCATCAGAGAAAAGTTATGGAATTTTAGAATAAGGAATTTGTGACATACTGTATTCTTTTCGTGTAGAAAAATTTTAAATATTTTATCAAAGTGTTTGTGTTTGTCGCCTATTAAGTTTTATTTTGTTAGTTTAGAATAGCTTCTTTTATAAATGTACAACGTGACACACTTTGCTGATCTCATATCGCCAGATATAAACTGTAAGGTTAAGAAAAGATTGTCACAAGATAAGAAAGACAGTGTCTACTGAAAAGATAGTAGTCCGCTCGTATATTTTCGAAAGTAAAATTCTCAGAAATTTTCTGAAAACATTGTACTCTTATCATATCGCGATAAACGCGACAAGTGATTGTTAGTTAAATGATCGTCGATTTACCTATATTTATCGTAGTTGAGCAATGCGAATATTGTTTCGAAACCACCGTAGGCGGTCCGTATCTTTTCAAGTATCTTTCAAGGCGCGGAAAGTTCGTTGTTAAATGAAACGCCAAGTAAAGGAGATGAGAGATCGTAGGAGTAGTTGAAGGCGAAAGATGAAACAATGGTCCCTCCAGAATATGGAGAAAAGTTGGCGTGTTCTCGGCTAACAAACTATTCAACTCGCGACCCAGGAAGAACGTCCTGTCATCCGACGATAATTTATATGGGGTAGAGATAGCTTTCTCGTTCTGCAGAGTTAGTAGCGTATCCATATAAGCAGTGAAGAATATAATTTAGAACTATCATAGGTATAACAACCTTTAGCCCAATGATGAATGTCTATAACACTAGGTTTACAAAAAATATTTTTTAATTACTTTGAACTAGACAAGACGTTGCATATAAATTTTTAGATAAAAGGGATGCTGCAAGTTAAATTTCACTAGCACGTTAGGTTCCCGGAGTAATTGAGATTTAATGCGCTAAAATAATTTTTTTACGTTATTTGACATTTTGTCGTAAAAAGGATTGTTATCTTTTAATTCTGATCAGAAATCATGTATTGTTCCCCTATAAAATGTATTTTTTTTAAATTTTAATATCTTACTGTTCAATCATGAAAAATGTTCAATTATGAAGGACTCATATACAGACTTTTCCTAAGATAGTAAATTTTCCGCTTATTAGAAGTCATTATACTTACAATTTCTAATTTGTGACTATTACACAGTGTAATTTGTTATTACAGATAATTACATATTACAGATGTTAAATGTATACGTACACACACATAATGTCTCATTTTAATTATCTACCTCTAATATCTAATAATAAAAAAATACATTTAAAAAAATTGTACGATCAGTGTCTGTGTATCGATAGCAACAAATTAAAAATTGTATATGACGTCATAAGAGGGAAAATTTATTATCTTAAAAAACTCTGTTTTTTATTTAAATCCACATGGCTAAAGAGTAAGATACTGAAATAAAAGAAAATATATTTTATGAGGGATGAACAAAATACATTCATGATTTTTAATCGAAATTTCAAAATAATGATTATCTTTTTTACAAAAAAATGTCAAATATCATTAAAAAAGTTATTTTTGGAAATTAAATTTGAATTATAGAAAACCTGACGTGCTGGAACTTGCGGCATCGTTTTTAGCATTCAAGAATCTATAAGAAACATCTAATCAGCTTCGAAGATTTTTTACTGTCTAAATTATATAGTGTAATATTCCACACTGTTGCATTAATGATATCATCGTAACATGCATTAGTAGTGAGAATCTTAAGTGAGATAATTACGATGGAATTATTAAGATAAAAGATAATAACTTAACTAGATCGTTATTTTTAATTTCCAGACTATAAGTAAGATTGATGTAACAGATTTGCGCAATATATGTCTTCCAAACAGAGTAACATTTAGAAACTCAAGCTGTAGTCGAAGTTCTTATTTTATTTTCTTTTTATCCTCTTTATGTCTACGAATTTTGCAGCACTTTTTTCTCTCTTTCTTTTTGACGTTTATTCAATCAGCATTTTATTGCGGTATAACTACAACTCACTTTGAATAGTACCTTGTAGGTAGATAATTGGATACGCGGTTCGCAGTAATTGATGGCCATAGGCTGATATTCCATATCCGTGTATTTATTTTCATTTGTGAAAGAGGATGCGTTTATACTTTGTGTCGTAGAACGTTATTTCTCTTTCACGGCGTAAATATACGAATTTTTATATTAAACATACAATTATGTACGAAAATCTCACTGTTCCGTTATTATTCTATACAAAGCGTTTATTAAAAAATTGTTGAATGGTCGTATTTTTTTAAATTCGCCTTTTTTTACAAATTGTATTCATACATACACACATATACATGTACATCAGAATAGTACCCTATAAAGCACTACTCTTTTTAATTTGCATTATGACCGAAATTTTAAAAGCACTGCTCTTGTTAGTTTGCGTTATGACCGAAATTTTAAAAGCACTGCTCTTATTAATTTACATGATGGTCCAAAAACGAAATGAATCTCCATATTTTTCAAGTTATAGTTTCCCAAGACATTTCTCTGCTCATAATGTCCACTAAATGGATCGTTTCCGCGCTATAATTCCATACGCATAACATTGAAGGCAAACAGAAAACAGAAAGACGCACTGCACAGAGTTAACGTTCCGAGAACGCTTAGAGTTCGCGTTTAATTTTCTCCGGTTGCCATTAATGCGGATTAGACGACTCTGGCGCCGTCGCTTTACTATACTATACTTCGAGAGAAGCCGCGAGCCATAAATCTACGCAATTTCATCGAATTTATCGTCCCAGATACTTAGCGTAACCGTGCGTCGAACGAGGTGGGCGATATAAATCAAATCATATCTAAAAAGAAAAGCTACGCGGCAACATAAGAGTATGTTAAGTATACCACGCGGTTAATATCGTTAGTTTCCGACGTAAAAATTATTTTTCTTGAAAACACGTTCCCGATAATTGTCCCCGGTAGTGCCGTCGTAACCGCGGTGAATCTAATAACGCGATAATTGAGTTTCGATCCAGAAACTTTACCTGTATTGATCGTTCAATCTTGCGATCTCGACCGGTTTTTTTTCTACCTGCGCGTCCTTAAGTGCTCTAAGTTCAGTCCGTCTACGGAATGGAGTGGTTCCACTTCGCCAAAAAAAGTATTTGCTCACCATTTGGAATAAACCGAATCAATCTTATGATGTATACAAATATCATAAAATTATTCGGCCACAAGCAAATGTCTTCTCGTACTAATTTTTGAAAAAATTATCATCGACACACTGAAAAAAACTAAATTAAAAAAAATATGTTTGAATAATTCTAAATATTTATTAAATG